CTTTAATACTATATAATATATTTTATTTTGTGAGAAATAGTATGTATTCCCTCCGTCTGGAAATACTTGTTAGAGAAATGATCTATTTCTCCGACAAGTATTTCCGAATGGAGGAAGTAATATAAACCCTTTTAGAGATTTCAATACGGATTACATATGGATGCATATAGACATATTTTATAGTGTAGATTCATTAATTTTACTTTGTATATACTCTATATTGGAATGTCTAGAAGGTCTTATATTTAGGAACAAAGGGAGTAGTACAGTAAAGAAAAGGTATGAGTACGGTGAATCCAAATAATTGGAGTCATCCAATTATGTATATCCAACGTCTCACACTGCTCCAATCACATCATAGATAATTGGGATGAGTTGGAAAAACATTAATTACATCGATCATAATTTGGAAACAACATTAATTTCATTAAAGACAATGAATTTTGGAATCAAACCTTAATTATGAGTAATCTTGGAATCGAACATTAATTATGAGTAATCTTGGAAATAACATTAATGTCAAATTAGACGTGTTGCACATAGACGATTACCAGTCGGGGAAAGGAGAGTCGTTGGAGATGCTCCTACTAGCATTCAGCATCGAAATTTCATGCCGGTGGAAATTGCAAAGTGCATGAATCTTAACGGAAAATCTTATTATTGTTATTAGGTGTTATTAACTGATGAAAATCTGGCACAGTATATGTATGGAGTTTACTGACTCCTCCCCGAGACTCAGACCCACCCAACACGGCCAGGCCCAGCTCCTCCGCCAGAACCAACCAACCCTAGCCGCCGCGGCGCAATGGCCGCCTCCGGCAAGCGTTCCTTGGCCGCCGTCGCTCTCGCGGCGATCGCCTCCTGCGCGGCCGCGCAGACGCCAGGAGGCCCGCCGGGATCGCACAACAACTCGATGAGCTTCTCCGACGTCATGGCCATCTTGTTCTTCATGGCCTTCTTCTTCCCCGTCTTCGTCGTCCTCCTCGCGTTCGCCTGCCTCCGCCTGTTCCGGCCGCCGGACGAGCCCCCGGCCGGCGACGACTCGTCGTCGGAGGGGTCGCTCCACAAGGAGGGCCTGAACGCCGCGGAGATCGCGGCGCTGCCGCTGGTGTCCTATCGCGACGTCAAGCAGCACCGGATCGGCGCCAGCGGGGTCGACCCGCTGGAGTGCGCCGTCTGCCTCCTGGAGTTCGGCGACGACGACTGCCTCCGCCTCCTGCCGGCGTGCCCGCACGCGTTCCACCCGGAGTGCATCGGCCTCTGGCTCGCGAAGCACGTCACGTGCCCGCTCTGCCGCGCCAGCGTCCTCGACCCCGAGGAGCTGATGCAGCCTCCCTCGCCGGAGGAGACGCCGGCACCGCACGAATCGCTGCGCCGGCTCGCGGATCACGATCACGACACGGTGGTGGTGCTAATCGAAGACCCCGGCTGCAACGAGGAGGAGGACGAGAGGACAAGGGTCCTTGCGAGGAGGATGCGGTGCGAGGCCGCCGGGCGGCAGGCGCTGCCGCGGTCGAACTCGACGGGGCACGAGCGCGCCGGCGGGACGGAGCACTTCGCGCTGCGGCTGCCGGAGCACGTCCGTCTCGAGATCCTGATGTCGCACAGGCTGAGGCACGTGACGAGCGCGGTCGCGTCCGTGCGCGTGAGGGAAGGGAGCGCCCATGACCCAAGCGCCGGCGGGAATTCGGTGCGGAGCGCCGTGGCGAGGCTGCTCTCCCTTTTCGCGCCCGGGGATGGGCGGAGGGGAGACGACGAGGAGAAGTCCGGGGGCTCGTCTCGCCGGCGGCGCGATGACTCTGCCCGGGGAGCAGGAGAAGACAAGCTGAGAAACGATTGATGAATCGGGAGAAAAGGAGAGCGGAACCTGGACGGCTGTGATGATTAGCTAGTTGTGTTTGTGTGGTTGTGAGTTGTGATCGGGACGGCATCAATCAATTTCTCCTTGGGATTTTGAAGAACGAAAATGTTAGGGAATGGCTAGATGTGAGTCGCTTGAAAAACGAATTTGGGTCAGTTGATTTAGTTTCAGCCGTTGGATGGAAAACAGGCGGTGCAGATTGCTTCTTCAACCTCCAGACCTCCTTTTTCTCCCAAGAGCCAAACGTGCCACTGGCCGAACCGTCGACCACCACTACCCATGGCCGGCGGCGCTCCTGCGCAGCCTCGCCGCCCCACCCTCTCCTCAACCTCCTCCCACCGCCATGCCGTCTCCCCCTGGCCATCTCTCTAGCCCTGGCGATGACTGGTGTTTTCTCTGGCGAACTTGCACCATCTCTTTCAGGAATTTGCCCGGAGCGTTTTAGATCTTACCGGCTTAAACTACGGGATTATCCTGCTGATTCCGAAGGTGCCGGGAGCGTATGATATTCGGCAGTTTCGGCCAATCACTGTCATTAATGTGATCTTCTGGATACTGGCCAAGGGGTACGCCAGTAGGGAGGCACTATTAGCTCCTAGGGTTACCGATCCGAACCAGACGGCCTTTATCAATGGGTTGTTCATTCTCAATGGGATCCTTTTTCTCCATGAAGTCATACACGAAGTCAAGACGAAACGCCTCAAAGAGGTCTTCTTCAAGATTGACTTCTATAAAGCCTACGATATGGTTCATTGGTCCTTCCTTCGGGAGGTGTTAATAAGGAAAGGCTTCGACCCCCAGTGGATCACTAGAGTGATGCAACGTGTGACGAGTGGTCGGACGGCAATTAACATCAATGGCAAGGTGGGTTCGTATTTCCAAACCACGCAAGGAGTGCGCAAGGGGACCCCTTTTCCCCCTTCTTGTTTAACCTGGTAGTCGACGCCCTTGTAGCCATACTAGATTTGGCAAGGAGGACCTGCCACATCAGGGGTGTCTGCCCTCATCTCTTGGGAGAGCGCGGGATTACTAACCTCCAGTATGCAGACGACACGATTCTGATAAGGACATCCAACACCTCAAATTCCCCCTACTTTGCTTTCAGGAGATGACTAGTCTGACGATCAACTTCTCCAAGAGTGAGGTCATGGTTATGGGATACCCCAAGGAGGAGAAGCATCAGATAGCAAACTGGCTTAACTGCTGATTAGGCTCCTTCCCGATGACTTACCTAGGCATGCCGATTAGCGACTCCCGTATACTTGAAAAGGACCTCCGCCCAACAATCTCCAAGGTCAAACACCGGGTTGAACCATGGCAAGGTCGGTGGCTTTCCAAGGCTGCGCAAGTGGTCCTGATTAATTCCTCCATGACTAGGCTACTAATGTATCTGATGGGATTCTGTAGTTTAAATGAATCCCTCCAAAACAATATAACTCCCGGTTCTTCTGGGCTGGAAAGAGAGATAAGCAAAAGTACCACATGGTTAGGTGGTCGGAGATATGCAAACCCAAGGACTAAGGTGGTCTACGGGTCATCTCATCCAAAAGGATGAACATTTCCCTTTTATCCGAATGGCTATGGTGGATCACCTCTGGTGAGGGTGGGCTTTGGCTAGACATTATACGTGACAAGTATTTGCGTAGGTAGGCTTTAGCGTTGCGCAATGGTCCGGCGGATCTCAGTTCTGGCAGGCAATCATCCAACTGTTGTCGGTTCTTCTCGTCTCGGCTCCTCTATCACAATTTGGTCGGGAACCAACACCCTATTCTGGCTAGACCAATGGTCGGGCCCCAACCCTTTGTCGTGTGGTTCCAAATGTTGTTCAACATATGCACGGATCGAGGCATGATTGTAGCCTCCGTCTTGGTCGACCTCGGTAATATCTCCTTTAGGTGGACGTTTGGCCCCATGGAATGAGACCTGTGGGAGGAGTTAATCGAGTGTGTGGCCCTACACCACCTCCGTTGACCATGATTTAGTTCGTTGGACTCTAAAACAAATGGGATGTTCTCCGAGAAATCCCTATATCGAGCAATAATGCCCACCCTAGGGCCGGTCGAGCTGAATCTCCTATGGGAGATTAAATTGCCTCTGAAGATTAGCATTTTTCTTTGGCAATTGGTTCGTGGTCGCCTTCCGTCCGGCATGGAGGTGCTCAAATGTAATGGCCCATCCGACGGGATGTTTCCCCTATGTGGGATCCCGGAAGATTCCAACCAAAATTTATTTTCATGTGCCACTGCTAGATTCTCATGGAGCTGTCTTCATGAGGTTGTTTGGAGCAGTTGGTGCCATGACAACCTTGCTGACATGCTCCGGGAGGTCCTCGGTTTTCCCGTAATCGTGCGGCCATCCCTATGGGTTTCCATAGGAACACTTTCTTGGACACTATGGAACGTCCGCAATAAATTGGTGATTGAACATGTGATTCCGCTTCGTGCGACTGACACTATTTACAAAATGTGTGGTTACTTACAGCTCTGGAGGCCGCTTAGCAAGCGACACTATCGGGACAACATCGACA